GGGGGGGGCAGTGTAGCCAATCTACACATCTGTTGCTCCTCGTTGCGAGCCTAAGCAACAGCCGCCTCCATTGCAAGACGAATCAACACACTGCCCTCACCCCACGCCCCCACCCCCTTTCAAATTTGCACGCTTGAACTGCGACAAAGAAAGAAAAATAAAAGTTTGCAGCAGGCTCCTGGCGCTGGCCCTCCTGCTTGGACCGTGTCTCCTGGTTTTCTTCCAAGAAAGCAGAATTTATAGGCAGGAATGCCAACCCTTGTCCTCTTGTTCAAGATGTTTGGTGTGGGGTTTGGCTCAAGCTTTTACTATACAAACTTGAACGGGAGAGTTGTCATGGAAACCGACATCTTGTTGAGAAGGACTGGTGTAAACAAGAGCACGTTAGATAGGGCTGAATCAGGCTTGACTCTTGCATGCATTCCTACAGAATAACAGAGTTGGAAGTCTTCTAGTCCAGGGGTCCCCAACCTTTTGGATCTTAGGAACCACCAAACTCATAATTTTAAATCCTGCGGACCAAAAGACCCTGGGAAAATCCCCCCCAAAAAGTCTGCAGGAAAATTCCTCACCCCGCTTTCCTACCGATCGATCATTCTTTATTTGGGATCGCAGGATATCATCTCCAGCTCTGTTCTCGGGGTGGGTGGGGGGGGGGGGAGAGACTTTTGGCTTCATGCAAGGAAAGCAGCAGAAGCAGCAGAAGTCTTTCTTTCTCTCCCCCAAACTCCTCCAGAAATGAGTCTTTGTGAGACTTGTCACGTCGGCGCAGCCTCTTGGAGTAGGAGGCCTTGCAGGGTCCCAAAGACTCATTTCTGGCAGAGTTTGGGGGAGAGAAAGAAAGACTTTTGCTGCTTTCCTTGCATGCAGCCAAAAACAGAAGAAAGAAGCGGAAAGAAGCAGCCCAGTGGCCAGGCCAGGCATGTGGGGCGAGTGGGGCAAGTTCCCCACCTCTGCCCTTTCCCCCTCCCCTCACTTCCTTGTGTTGTCTGCAATGCAAGCGACACAAGCCTTGTGTTCCTGCACAGTCTGGATTAATCGCTTTGGGGGTGACATTTCTCTGCAAACCACCAAAATTTTCTCAGAGACCACCAGTGGTTCCCGGCCCACTGGTTGGAGACCACTGTTCTAGTCCAATCCTCTGCTTAAGGAGAAGACTCTAAACAATTCCAAACAAATGACTGTCCAACCTCTTCCAAAAAAACCTTCCAGTGATGGAGCACCCACAACTTCTGGAGATTCGTGTAGATTTTTTTCTGAAAATAACCAGGACATGACTTGTCATTGTCTTCTTCTGAGAAATGTTTCCCAACTTCCCATTCTAACTTACAATTGGGGCACTTCTTCGTGGTCTCCTACCTCCAAACTCACCAGCTAGAACTTCCTTAGCTTTTCAAAGCTTTTCACCTAAAGTCATTTAGAGGTTACAAGAAGACGATGTGGAACAACTGTGTCGCAATTGAGGTAATTCATCTCCCATCCGCACTCAACTTTGAAGGAGTGAATTTTCGAATCTGCCTGAACTTCGTTGATTATGTTTGTAGCAACAGCAGCAAAATGTTTTGGAGAAAAGACACACATATTTTTTGCAGAAGGTCTACCTCCAGCAGTCACTCATACCTTTCTAAAGCTAGATAACTACAATGTGCGGTAGAGGGGGATACTTTTGAAGGCTGTTTAGACAATTCACACATTTATCACCCAGCTGCCTATTTCCTAGGGAAGTTGGATTGACTTCCAAGAGCTGGTTGGGGTGTGTGTGAGGATATATATCTGAATTATAAATGGAGACAGTTGAGTTCCAACCTCCTTTAGATGTTTCATATGGTAATCTGGATCCAGTCTTTTTCCCTGACCTGGGGCAGCAAAGAGACAAGTTTAAGCATATTTCCTGAATTAGCCACAATTGCTTGAGTTTGCACAACTGTGAGGCACATCTTATGAACCACAATTGCCGGGTTCAAATGATCTCTGAAAACAAAGCCAAACCGAGCCAATTTTGCATGGCTGGGATGTCTCCAACCAATTTTACCCTTGTCTGGGATTAGATAGAGGATACAAGGAGGAGTGAACAGATGCTGTTTTGAAGACCCCTAGGACAGAGAGGGAAAACATCTCTACTGTGTTTTCTTTGCCTTTCTGTCATCTCCAGTTTCTTGGAATTTTTTTTTTTTTTTTTTAAGCAGCTCATTTGGGACACAGAAGAAGAAACATTCAGCCTTCCAAGAATCACGAGCGTTACCATCCTTGGAAATGGTTGCAACAGAAATTTGTTTAATAGCTTGTAAACCGAGAATTATTTCCATTTTCTTTCTCTTTTACTTGAGGTCTCTTTGACTTCTTCAATGACCAACTAGGGAACAAATAAGCACAGCTTGAATTTTCCAAAATCCACAAAGGGTTATTTTTGGAGTATCTTCTTTTAATAGTGACTGCATATAGAATTTTATAATCAAAGAACCAGATTTTTTTTCAAAAATGTTTCAAATTAATACCACTTTTTAAAACAATGGGGTTATCATTTCCCCTCTCTCTTCCACACAGAACTTCCATGGGGTGGGAAACCATTGCCCCGAATGATGATTAGCCAGCAACTCTCAGGAAGTATGGTTAAAGATAACAAGTGCGAAGAATAGAATTCTTTATTGGCTAAGTGTGATTGGACACACAAGGAATTTGTCTTGGTGCAAATGTTCTCAGTGTACATAAAAGGAAAGCTACATTCCTCAAGAGTCAAGAATCATAAGGCACAACACTTAATAATAGTCATAGGGTACAATAAGCAATCAAATCATGCTAGGAAACAGTCAATAAAAATCATTAGGATACAAGCCACAAGGTTACAGTCATATAGTCACAGCTGGGAGGAGATGGGTGAAAAGAAGGGAGGATTATAGTAATAGTGATAGTAATTCAGACTTAGTAAACAGTTTGACAATGTTGAAGGAATTATTTGTTAGCAGAGTGATGCCATTTGGAAAAAAAAAACTGTTCTTGTGTCTAGTTATTCTGGTGTGCAGGGCTCTATGGCATCATTTTGACGTTTCTCCTCAAAACCCTGTTGGATAAGACCAAAGATCCACCTCCACCAATCTTGTCTCTCGTATCTAGGAAGCTCTCGAGTTGTAAAGGATGTTTTCCCCCTTATTTATTTCACATCCTGACAAACAGCGATCGCCCATTTCCATGTGCAAAGTTTCATTTCAGCTATACCCAGAAGACTCTCCGTGGGTCACCTATAGAGCACAACCAGCATCCTGTTTCTTGTAGAGTCATGGGATATCCACAAACTGGACATGGAGGCAACAGCATGGCCATTTTCACCCAGCTCATGATTATCCAGATGTGTTGGGTGACACATCAATGAATCAACAGCGATGAACTGACTCCACACAAAGACTAAAATATGCTCTTTTAGCTCTGAGAATTCCTGTTTGCTGGAGGACAAATTCATGAAGAAGGAATGTTCTTGTCTAGCTTATCAGATTGTTGCCAGGATCCATCAGGAAGGGGAAATGATGAAGGCTCTTTGGAGGAAATATAGCAATGACATGCAACCTTATAGAAAAAGCAGTGTCTATTGAGATTCTCAGTCATCCAGCTCATGGTTGTATTATAAGCATTATAAGACCCCAGTATCGTTTTCATCTTTGGAAAGTACACTGATTTTTGTCCCAAAGATGTTTTTTCAAGAGGCAACTGGACTTTCTGGTTTTTATTCTGTTGAAGATGTTTTGCTTCTCATCCAAGAAGCTTCTTTAGCTCTGACTGGATGGTGGAGAATGAAAGGATTCATATTCCTTGCAGACAGCTGGTCATTTGCTTTCTTTTTAGAGAGTCGTTCAGTTCACCATCCAGTCAGAGCTAAAGAGGCTTCTTGGAAGAGAAGAGAAACGTCTTCAAAAAAGACCAGAAAGTCCAGTTATCTCTTTAAAAAGCACTTTTGGGACAAAAACAAGAGTACTTTCCAAAGATGAAAATGACCCTGGGGTTTTATAATACTCGGATCTGGAACCCAGTCCATTAGATCAGATAATGGTTCTCTTTTTCCCACTCTCTGATGGAGGTTTCGCATATTTGATGGAAGCAGGGCAGATAGAAATTTTGAGAGACAGAATGTTACTCCCATATTGATGTGTAGAGCAAATCCTGGGACCAGTGAGTTTCTATCTGCCCTTGCAGCAATGCAGTGATCCCAGGGATCCACTGGGAAAATAAGAAGGAGAAACTCTCAAGGAAAAAAAAAAACCCAACCAGAATAGAACTGGCAAACAATATACTGAAGTTACGAAGGGATGCAAATTACCACTAAAAAGGTAGAACAAAAATCCTATTCAATCCAGAGTCTAAAAATGCAAAAACAATGTTGTTGGTCCTAAAAGCATTGCTTTAAAAAAAATTAAAGTAAAAACTTGGGAGAAAGTTGCAAACTAGTCGAAATCCCATCCTCCTCCGGAATCACCCCCATTAGAAAAACCAGAGGGGGAAATAGAATTGATGCTGTTCCAGCTGTTAGTTACTTTGATACAGGTAGTCCTCAACTTACAACAGTTCATTTAGTAACCGTTCAAAGTTACAACTGCACTTAAAAAAGTGACTTATGACCATTTTTCACACTTACAACCTGTCAACTCATAAAATATTTCCATGGTCTTTTTAGAGTTGCCAACAGAAAGGGAGGGGGGAGCAGTGCGGCAGCTTGCAAAACCGAAACTGCATTCCATAAATGTTTTCAAAGATAGTAACTAGGTGACTGAAGTTTCTGCCATGCAAATATCTAACTGGAGAGCATAATTGATGTCTCTTGGCTATGGATGTGTCCTATTGGAGAATATGAATTACGATACACCCAGAGAGTGGGGGAAAACCAGGGTCAAGGGTGACAGTGAATTATGTGTCATGCCCCTGGTGCAGACTGACTCTGAGGGAGAGGAGGAACAGCCAACAAGGAGTGGAAGTGTGGCTCCAGATGTTGTGGAGGAGGCTGGGGAAGGGCAGAGGCCGGCTGGGCAGTCAGAGGAGGACCCAGGCCCATCCCCTCTCCATCCTAGGGCACACAGGGAGCAGAGGATAAGGGAGAGACATGGTCTACTCAGGAGGAGAGGGCCTTGATCCTCTTCCTGGGCTGCAGCTGTGACAACTGAATAAGAGGACGGACATGCGTACGGGCAAGTGCTGGAAACAAAGCATGGAAATATCTCTAGTTTATGGTTACTTTCTGAGTTTGGCTTCCTTCCCCGTGTGTGTTCTGTTATCTGCGGACATCCTCCAGCCCTTATCTTGCCTGGTTTGTGTTGCTTTTCCCCTCCTTCTTGTAACTGTTTGTGTGGGAGTTTGTTGTCTTCCGTCAAGGCTATTCGAAGCTTGGAAGCAAAGTGAAGGAATAAAAGGGGCTTCACTGGGTTTTTGTGACTGTGTTTGTTTTGTATCCTACCCTGGTTCATCACATTATGTGTCTCAGAGTCGGCTACACCCAGGCAGTGCCGGACATGTTAATTCCCAATAAATCCTTTTGAAGTTTTGGAAGTTTGGCTCCAGGAAGATGGAGACTTTTAAAAATTCCCCCTTGTATCTTACACCCCCTTTTCCCTGCTCCTTTGCCTTCCTTTGATTTCCTATTTTCTTTCCTTCTGTTTGTATTTTATATAATGAAACAAATAAAAAAATCAACACGTTAAAATTTTAACGAGGTGCTAATGCCACTCTCTAAAACCTTAGTAAGACCAGAGTCCTGCATCCAGTTTTGGTCACCACACTATAATAACATGTTGAGACTCTAGAAAGAATGCAGAGAAGAGCAACCAGGATTATTAGGGGACTGGAAGCTAAAACATATGAAGAACGGTTGCAGGAACTGGGCCTGGCTAGTCTAAGGAAGAGAAGGACCAGGGAGAGGATAGCAGTGTTCCAAATATTTGAGGAGCTGCCACAGAGACGAGGGGGTCAAGCTATTTTCCAAAGCTCCTGAAGGCCAGACAAGGAATAATGGATGGAAACTGAACAAGAAGAGATTCAACCTGGAAATGAGATTTTTTCTGACAGTGAGAACAATCAACCAATTGAATAGTTTGCCTTCAGAAATTGCTGGAGCTTCATCACTGGAAGCTTTCAAGAAGAGACCGGACTGCCGTTTGTCAGAAATGATGTAGGCTCTCCTGCTTGGGGGAGTTGGACTAGATGACCTACAAGGTCCCTTCCAACTCTGTTAATTTGTTAAGATAGTTAGAATTCTTTATTGGCCAAGTGTGACTGGACACACAAGGAATTTGTCTTGGTGTAAATACTCTCCGCATACATAAAAGAAAAGATACATTCATCGAATCAAGAATCATAAGGTACGACACTTAGCAGATAGTTTCGTGAGTATGAAATACGTAGTGAATTGCAGATAATAATAAAGAATAAAGAAACCTTTAGAGAGCATTTCACTGAGGCAGCCATGGTCGGCACCATCTTGGACCCAAGAGCTTTGGTTTACCAATTCCATAACGAATTCCCTGACAAAGCAAAGGGTCCCCTTGGAGTGGGGAGAGGAGGTTAAGGCCATCGCATTAACCCCTGGTTGTGTTTTGTTTATTATCTCTTTTAGGAGGTGAACTTCTCAAGGGGGGATGCCTGTCAGCTTTGGAAGCCACACAGCCCTAGAAAGTGGGAGGGGCGATCCCAACCGAGCAGTTCCAAGCAGACAAAATAAAATTCTTTTCTTACTTCAAAGCCATCAAGTTAAACTTGGGAAAATAAGGAAGGCCCTTAAAAAGCCATCCAAGTTAGCCAGTTGAAGTTGGACATACCATGCTCTGGCCTGGCTTGGCTGTTCCCAACCTTCAATTAACAACCCCACGTGCAGCTTCCCACGATCCGGGGGATCTTCCCACGGTCTTTTCCCCCTCGCGTTCCTGGACCCCCCAGCTTACCGCTTCCGAGGGGAGAGAAGCACTCCCAGCCGCCCAGGAGCTGCCGACACTCCTTCCAAAGAGAGAGCGAGTAGCGTTCCGACGTGACCCAGGCTGGGCTCAGCAGCGCAGCCACATCCAGAGCCAGCGCCAGGAAGGCGCAGAGCAGCGCGATCAGCTTGAAGGGGCGCACCGTCAATCCCCGCTCCTCGGCCGCCGACATCCTTGCCCCGGAGGTCCCCCCCACCCCCCGCCTCCGACAGTCGCGGGATAGGAAAGAGGGAGAAGACCCGACGAGGGTAGGTGGGAAACGCGAGAAGGAAGCCGAGAAGCGCCTCGCCTCTTGCGCACTTCCAGCGGCGGAGTTGGCCAAAGGGACGCGCGGCAGCCGGCGAGGCGAGGGTCCCGCCCGCCCCGGGGTCCGCCCCCTCCGGCCCCCTTGGAGGACGGCCGTCGGATCCTATATAACCCACCCACCCCTTCTGAGCTGGACTGGGGAGCCCCGCCGCCCGGTGGGATTGGCTTTAAGAATCGGGGAGGGGGCGAAAATCTGAACCAGCTTCGGACGTCAGCACGGAGGATGCTCGGTGCTCTCCCCCTGCCTGGGCTTCTGAGCTCAATGCGTTTTAGCCATGGGGTTAAGGGTCGCTCTCGACGGGATCCTCAGGGTGTCTCTACCTGCATTTATTTTTAGGGGTGTCTGTGGTTGTTTATTCGGGCCAGCCGAGTAGGGGATGCTGGCTTGCCAGTCGTGAAAGTTGGAGTGGCTGGACCTAGGAGATGGAGAGTGGAAGGTTCCGTGTGGCCAACATGCTGCGGGAGAACTTGCCACAGCTGACTTGTTGCAGGACAACTTGGCTGCAGGACAAGAGTTACACTAATATCAAAGAAATAGTGGGATAGGATCGTTAAAGAAAGGATACCCGAGAAGGGTCAGAATGAGACGAGAATGGCAAAAATAATTAAATAGAATTGTTAAATCGTCCAACAACAAGTTGTCTTCCAACGAGTTGTCCCGTGGCAAGTTGGCCATGTTGAGTTGGCCATGTTGAGTTCAATGAGTTGTCCCGTGGCGAGTTGGCCATGTTGAGTTGGCTATGATGAGTTGGCCGTAGCAAGTTATTCTTTGGTAAGTTGTCCCATTCCCCCAGTTGATTTTGGAACTCTTGGTGCTTTTGGATCAGCTCTGTTGCCTCCCTCCTTTCCTCGCCCTCCCTTTCTATGCCCAACCAACCTCACAGGGCTGTTGTTGAACAATGGGACTCAGGTGCCCTTTCTGGAGTTCCCCAGGGAAAAGTGGAATATCAATGCTTTAAAGGAATGAATGGAAGTAAAGAGGTGGAATGTAAGTGATTTAAATTAAAAAATGGATACATGTAAAGAGGTGGAATAGAAATGTGTGAAATCGAGGAATAAATGAATGTAAAGACGTGGAATGTAAATGCTTTAAACAATGGAATATAAATGCTTTCAAGAAATAAATGAATTAAAATGCTTATAATAAGCATTAATTAAAATGCTTATTATAAATGCTTTAAATAAACAAGTCAGCCTATTTTGACATTAATGTCTTGTGGGTATGGAGGCGACTAAAAATGATAAAAATTCTAGAGGTTAAGGGACAACAAAATGCAGTGCACAGCCTGTAGCGCTGCAATTAGAATTAAATTGTGTACAAAATAAACACAGGGCAACTCAAAACTACCATCTGGTTGGTTACTGTGGGAACTTTTGGTCTGTGGTTTAATCCAGCTCCCCTGTTGTTACATTCTTCTGCTGTCTGGTGCTGATAAAGAGTTTACCCACGTAAGACATGACCTGAATGAGAAAGAGCAGGGTGAAATAAGATGGAATAATACTTCTGAAAGCGAGGAGGCCCTTCGAACAGGACTTCAGCCCAGATATCGCACAATGCGCTGGATCAACCTTTCCAAATGCAGAAGAACATTTATCCTTTCTTGGAAAACCCATCCCATCCAAGCTAAAAAAACAATGGATGGCATTTAGGTAACTGATTGCAAAGTGGTTTAAAAAAAGGGGGATATAATATGGTGTCAAACTCCATCCATTCCAACAAAGAGAGATTCACACAATAAAATGAAAACGTGTGAATCTTTTTTTAATAAACAAAGCTTGCATCCATATCGTTGTGACTCTTGATAGCTTAGTTTTTAGTTTACTTGATTGTCATTGCACCTCGTACAACGAAATTAAATGCCATCTTCAGTGTATATTATTATAACTATAAAAAAACAAAAAACAAAAAACCCCACATCCTTCACATTCTATACAATTGAATTGAAAACCCCTGATACTGCATTAATATTGCACTATGCAGTAGAATTCAATAGAGTTACTGCCCTGGGATAGAAGCTGTTTTTCAGCCTGTTTGTCCTTGTTTTTATTGTCCTGTACTGTCTGTCACATGGTAATAGTTCCCCCCCCCCCAAAAAAAAAAGGATGCCCAGGATGAGATGGAACTATAGAATAGAATAGAATAGAATAGAATTCTTTATTGGCCAAGTGTGATTGGACACACAAGGAATTTGTCTTGGTGCAAATGCTCTCAGTGTACATAAAAAGAAAAGATACATTCATCAAGAGTCAAGAATCATCAGGCACAACACTTAATGATAGCCATAGGGCACAATAAACAATCAAATCATACTAGGAAACAGTCAATATAAATCGTAAGGATTCAAGTGACAAAGTTACAGCCATATAGTCACAAGTGGGAGGGGATGGGTCATAAGGAATGATGAGAAGATTAATAGTAATAGTAGTGCAGATTTTGTAAATAGTTGAACAATGTTGAGGGAACTATTTGTTTAGCAGAGTGATGGTGTTGGGGAAAAAACTGTCCTTATGTCTTGTTGTTCTGGTGTGGAGGGCTCTATAGCATCGTTTTGAGGGTAGGAGTTGAAACAGTTTATGTCCAGGATGTGAGAGGTGTATAAATATTTTCGCAGCCCTCTTAAATAAAAAACATTTAAGGATGTTTTGAACTTTCTTAAGGCAGCAGGAGCTATAAAGCTCTTCCAAAGAGAGGAGAGGGCAACCAGTGATCCTCTGGGCAATGACGTTAACCCTCTGGCACGCTGTCCTATCTGCCGTGGTGCAGTGGCAGATAGCTCATTTGGTGCAGGGATGACAACCTGATTCAAACTTTCAAAGTTTTTTTTTTTTTTAAAGGACCAAGTCAAGACGTGATTAATAAAGGATCCAGCTCATTCTTTATGACTCTAGCGCACTGCACCTCCTCGAATGTTCAGAAATGACAGGTGTAAAGCTCAGCTTTGCGTCACGAGGGAGGAATGCACCCTTTTGTCCAGTGTGGTTCTTTATGTTCATGAATCACATTTCCCTCCAGTCCACCTCCCTGGTGGAGTTTATAAATAGGCCGGCCAGCTGCCAGGGAGCCATGAACTCAGATAATGCCGCTGTCAACATTATCCAGGAAGGACCAAGGAAACGGAATTCAAAAGCCTCTCGGAGAACCCTACTCAGCCAAGGCCGATGGCCTGTGTGGGAACAGAGTTCCTCTCCCTGGTCGTGCTAACAGAACAACTTGTTGGCCAAAAATGGTGCCTGCGGGACCGATAGTTCCAGCAAAGGCAGGAATAGCAAATTCAATTGTTTGCATTTTTGTCGACGCATACAAGAAATGGGCACCACCAGCAGGTTAAAAAGAGAAGAGAGGTTTCGCTCCAAGGGGAAATCTGGGGAAATCAACTCGGCAAAAAATGGGACGTGTTCGATTCATGGATGTGTTTTTCCTGTTCTGTTGCATTTCGCAGGATAGCTTGTGGTTTATCACAGCAGTAGCAGTAGCCATAGCACTTAAGGCTTGTATACTGCTTCACAGTGTTTTACAGCCCTCTCTAAACAGTTTACAGAGTCAGCCTATTGCTCCCAACAATCTGGGTCCTCATTTTACCCACCTCGGAAGAATGGAAGGCTGAGTCAATCCCTGAGACAGTCAAGATTGAACTCCTGACAGAATTAAAATTAGCCTGCAACACTGCATTCTAAGCGGAAGGAAGGAAGGAAGGAAGGAAGGAAGGAAGGGCAATAGCAATAGCTCTTAGACTTATATACTGCTTCACAGTGCTTTACAAGTGATTTATAAGTGATTTATAGCGTTAGCATCTTGCCCCCCAAAAGCTGGGTCCTCGTTTTACTGACTTTGAAAGGATGGAAGGCCGAGTCAACCTTGAGACGGTCAAAATCAAACTGCTGACAATGAGCCGAATTAGCCTGAAATACAGCATTCTAACCACTGTGAAGGGAGGGAGGGAGGGAGGGCAATAGCACTTTAAGACTTGTTTTGATTTTTTTTATACAAAAGAGCAACTTTTACCCAAAATCAGGCAGAGCAGGCAGGCAGATTGAGTTGCTCACAAAATCACAGATTCACTCAAGAGATCCATCTTTCTGCAATCGGCTACCCGAGTCTGTCACATAAAATTTGCTTGCAAGCAACTCATAAAACTTGCTAGCAATCAAACTCACAAAATTAAATCATAACACGCTATGTATATAAATTTTGAATTTTTTTATTAAAAAAGAGCAACTTTTACCCCAAACCAGGCAGAGTAGGCAGGCAGATTGAGTGGGTCACAGAATCATTTAGAGAGCTGTGTTTCTGCCATTTGCTACCTGAGTCTGCACTGAATAATAGAAGCTTCAGGCTCAGCTCTGCTTTTAGATTATCTAGAAAGCAAGAAATCCAACGATTTCCTGCTCTCTAGCTCATCTAAATCTCCCGGCACAGAACAGCTGATGGTCAGGGGGGAAAAAAATAGGAAAAATAGCAACTTAGCAGACTAGTTTGATGGGGCGCAGGCCAGGTAAGGAGTGGGCGGGGCCAGCCAGTGTACGATTTGACAGTTCTCCGGCAGGTAGAATCCCACCCCTGGTGGAAGTGCATTTTGTGTGCGCATGTGCCGCCCGGACAGCTGACAAGCACTGCGCGCGGGTGCATGTTTGAAAATCCTCTTCTTTCCTGCTTTTTCAACTTCAGCTGTGCTGTGCAAAGCAGCTGAGGTTGAAGAAGCAGGAAATAAAGGACAGGTGAGAGCCCGGGCAGGCAGGTGGGCCAAACAGAGCAGCAGACCCCGAACCAGTTTGGTGTCTGCTGCTCTTCAGAGCTACTGGTTCTATACTGGTAGCATCCCACCCCTGGTTAACTCCCAAACGGCTGCCCCTTCAGGTTCACAGCCATGAAAAATACCCTCTTTCCTTCCCCTGACAATTGCATCAGGGAAAAATAACAAAATAGGGACGCCAATCCCCTGGAGATGCGGACCATCACAGAATCATAACCTTCAGGAAAGGAAACCTTCATCTGGCAGGCAGGCCTAAAGTCGCTGCCTTGATCTTTGGGAGTTATAAACACGAGATAAAGGCAA